CTCCTGTGCCGCCTCACTTTCTTGAAAGATTTCAATTTTTATTCCATCAATTCCTGGTTCCTTGTTCTTTGCCAATTCCTTCAATGTACCTTGGACTTCTTCAGTATTATTGGCTCCTGATCATATGCTACTTCTTAAAATGGCTGAACATTGATAATTACCTTTTGGTATAGTGTTTATGTGTATTCCTTCCATCTTCTTTTGATGCTTTCTGCATTATTCAATACTTTGTCCTGATGATCCTTCAATAACAAAAGTCAAGGGTTGAATTTTTTCTTCATTTCCCCCAGTTTGAGAAATGCTGAGAATATTCTTTGCTTTTGGTTTTCAAACTCCAGAACTTTGCACATTTCATTATAATATTTGACTTTGTCTTTGCGAGCTGACCTCTGAAATGTTCTGTTCAGCTCTTGTACCTCTTCACTTCTTCCATTTGCTTTAGCATTTCTATGCTGGAGAGCAAGTTTCAGAGTCTCTTCTGACATCCATTTTGAACTTTTCCTTCTTTCTTATCTTCTTAATGACTTTTTGCTTTCTTCATGTATGATGTTCTTGACGTCATGCTACAACTCTTCTGGTCTTTGGTCTTGAGTGCTTAATGCATCAAATCTGTTCTTCATATGATTTCTGAATTCAGGTGGGATATATTCAAGGTCATGTTTTGGTTCCCGTGGACTTTGTTTTCATTTTCTTCAGCTTCAGTCTGAATTTGCATATGAGCAATTGATAGCCTGTTCCACAATCTGCCCCTGGCCTTGCTTTGGCTGGTGATATGGAGCTTTTCCATCATCTCTTTCCACAGATGTAGTCAATTTGATTCCTATGCATTCCATCTGGTGAGGTCCATATTTATAATCATCTCTTATGCTGTTTTTAAAGAGTATTTAAAATGAACATATCATTGGTTTTGCAGAATTCTATCATGTGATCTCCAGCATTTCTATCACCAAGGCCATATTTTCCAACTACTGATACTCCTTCTTTGTTTCCAGCTTTTGCATTCCAGTCACCAGTGGTTACCAATATACCTTGATTGCATGTTTGATCAATTTCAGATTGTAGATATTGGTAGAATTCTTCTATTTTAGCCTCACTGGCTTTAGTGGTTGGTGCATAAATTCAGATAATAGTGGTATTAACATATCCATTCCCTGTAGGTGCATGGATATTATCCTATCACAGACAGCGTTGTACCTCGTGACTGATCTTGATATGGTCTCTTTTTGACGATGACTATGACGCCACTTCTCTTCATTTTAACATTCCTGACGTAGTAAACCATGTGATTTTCAGATTCAAAATGGCCAATACCATTGTATTTCAGCTTACTATGTGTTTATGTGTTCGATTTAATCTTTGACAATTTCCAATTTTCCTAGATTCACACTTCATACATTCCATGTTCTAATTATTAATGGATATTTACAGCTGTTTCTCTTCATTTTGAGTGGAGCCCCATAAGCAAATAAAGGTCCCAAGGTGTCTACTCCATTTGCGTCGTCACAGTCAACTCTACTTTGAAGAGGCAGCTCTGCTTCACCAGTCACATTTTGAGCGGCTTGCAACTTGAGGGGCTAATTTTCTGGCAATATAGCTGAGTGTTTCTCTGCTATTCATAAGGTTTCCAATGACTAAATATTCAGAAGCAATTCTTCTCTCCTTCTTCCTAATCTGTCTTAGTCTGGAAGCTCGCCTGAAACCTGTCCACCATGGGTGACCCTGCTGGTATTTAAAATACTCATGACATAACTTCTAGAATCACAGCAACTCACAAGCCACCACAATATGACAAAACTGACAGACGAGTGGTGGACCATCCTTCTGGAAATCTCTAATAAGAAATTCTTGAAGTCATCGCTGCAATTACCAAAGCAGGCACAAAAACCTTACAATTTTTTATTAAATATCTTTTAATCTCCTATTGAAAATGCAACTTCTATATGAATGTGACATATAATAAATGTCACATGCAAAATATGTGTTATCAGTAATTAAGTTTTGGGGTAGTCAAAAGTTATACACAAATTGCTACAATTTGATGAACTTGACCTATACTTATGGATGTAGTAGTTCAAAATACCAACTGAGAGGGAAGGAATCTCCATATCAAGGATCAATCCTATCCCCTCTGTATACAGGGTTGATGGGGACGGGCAACTTAGACATTCACTACCTAAAATGGGGGGTGGGGGGCGCTAACAAGGCACGAAGGAGTCCTAGCGTGGCGCTGTGGGTTAATGCACCACACTGCAAAGCCGTTTGAACTGCAAGGTAGGCAGTTCAAGCTCACCAGCTGCTCCTTGGAAACCCTATACAGGGTCGCTATGGGTCGGAATTGACTCAACAGCACTTGCCAACAACAACATCAAGGCACAAAGTGACTGGCTTACAAGTTTTCAAGAGGGAGTTTAGTTTGAGTGTGAGGGGGAAGGTAGAGTCTCCACTGAATAGTTTTCATCTTATCTAGATGGGTCTGATGAAAATAACTGAGTATAAGATTCTTAAGATTCAATAGTAATTATTGTCATGACTAACTGTGACTCTCACAACTGTAAAGGTAGAAGTTTTGTAACAAAAAGAGGACCATTAAGGGAGAAGAGCATGAATGAAATGTGGTACCCTATCCAGAGAAGCAGTGATACCAGAGAAGGAGACAGAGATGAAGGCATGGAGAAATAGAGCAGCTGAGGACTCTAAATTAATGGAAAGAGAAAGGCTATCTGCCGGCGGCTAAGTGCTGGTAGCCAGGAGGCAGGCTCGTAGAATATGCCCTTTGGTTGTTTAAATGATTATATATTCCTGAGTGGTTTTGTGTATATCCCTACCAAAAAACAAAAGAAAAAAACAGAGGGAATAGAAGCAAATACTGTTGAATGATGATGTACAGAGGAGATTGCAATCATTGCAATGAAATGATGAGTGTAAAACTGATGTTCCCCCATGTAAACTATCACTCAATTCACAATAAAAACTTTTTACAAAAATTATACACAGATTTTTGACTGGGTGAGGTTAGGGTATCTATACTCTGTGTTGTTTAAAGGTCAACTGTAAATACAAAAATATTCAAAGTCACTAATGAAATATTAAAATAATTTTAGATTAAGAAATAAAAGGAAACAACCAATGGAGGTTTTAAACATAACCGTTAATCTTGGCAATAATATGAAAAACTAAAAACACTTATACAATTAGTCAAAAGGTAAACAAGTAAAAAATTTACTAAACAACCATTTGGCAAATCTATATCTAAAACCTTAAAGTATACACACCATTGTAGTACTTTAATTTCCAAAAACAACGAAGGAATATTCTAAAATTTGTATTTATAAGCTATTTTTCCCAGTATCACTCATAATAGGTACAGAGATCAAATATATTTGACAGTAAGAACAGGCACAAAAATATAAGTTTTTGTTTTTGTTTTTGTTGTTGTTGTTGTTGTTTTTAAGAGAAATGAGGAACAGAATTGGAACTGAAAACATGTTGGAAATTGAGATAACTTGAGAGTCTATTTATCAGTCTTTTTCAATGGCTACATCATTAGTCAGTGTGTTCTCTCTTGCTTTCTCTGAATTTGTCTTTTCTGCTTAGTTAACACTTCTGCATCCTCAGAGTATCTCTTGAACTCCGCCCCTTGATTTTACCAACGCTTTTTTACTTAGGTTGAGTTCAAATTAAGACTATTCTTTTCCATCTAAACAACACTAAAAACAACAACATTTTACAATAATAATAACAACACTACATTAATTGCATCCCATAAGTTTTGATATAATTTTTATTATTACTGTTCTAAATATTTTCTATTTATTAATTACCCTTCTTATTTACAAGGAGGAGTCATGGTGTGGCACTGTAGGGTAAGCACTGGACTACTAATCACAAGGTCAGCAGTTCAAACTCACCAGCCATTCCTTGGTGCCCTACATTGTGTCACTGTAAATTTGAATCAATTTAATCAGCACTTAACAACAAGAATAATTACAATGACTTCCAAAAGCTTATGGAATAATCCTATTATTTTTTCATTCCATGTTTCCACGAACATTTGGAAACTCTCTCGCAAATAAGTTTTCAAAGGGAATTTGTCCCAGCTTATCTTCTTATACACAAAACCACTAGAAGAAAGTCATGAGTTGGCTGATTCTGGTCTAACATGTGATACAAACAATGTGACCAAGGTGGCAAGAGGCATAAGTAGGACAAGTACTGTGAAATTTCTAGTCACACTCACACGCACACATATATACATATCCACACACACAAAATCCTAGAAATCACATAAGTGTCATAACAACAGGAGATGGTTAATAAATTATAGAACAACATTAGGGAAGGAAACTATATACACAGTTTAAAGCACAGTTATAATATATGATTATCAATGAAGAAATCTGGATGGTAGGATTACATTTGTTCTTAATTTTATTCTTGGTAGCAGTGCATTTTCTAAAATAAGTGTGGATTTCTTTTATAATAAAAAAGAGCAATCACTGAGTTTGTATATTGATTAAAGCAAAGCAAATATTTTAAGTTTACTTTTTAAATAGCAAATATTTTGCTTACCTTTCCAGCATCACATTTTGTGCCTTCATTCACCATCCCAGGATCTGGAACATCAGATCCTAGCTGGAAATCCACACCCCAACATGTAGTATCTCTATGGCGGGTTTGAATAATAGCAGGCATAACTCCAAATACAGGCATGCCTTGCACATTTTCACACTGAAGCTTTCCACACAAAGCATTCCTATAAGAAAGACAAAGCAAAAGTAAAATGCATTCAAAGTGTATATAAAAATAAGAACCAAAAGAAAAAAAAAAGTGTGTGTGTGTGTGTATATATATATGTGTGTGTGTACGTGCTCTGGTAGCGTAGTGGTTATGAATCGGGCTGCGAACCGCAAGGTCAGCAGTTCGAAACTACCAGCTGTTCCATGGGAGAAAGAGGAGGCTTTCTGCTCCCATAAAGATTTACAGCCTCAGAAACCCTGTTCAGGGTTGCTATGGGTCGGAACTGACTCGATGGCACTTAACAACAACAACATATATATATATATATATAAAATGAATGCCAATGGTGCAGTGGTTAAGGGATCAGCTGGTAACTAAAAAGGTCACCAGTTTGAACGAACAGATGATCCAAAAAAGAAAGCTGTAGCAGTCAACTTGCCAAAGATTTACTTCTTTGGAGACCCTTTGGGGTAGTTGTACTCTCTCCTACAAGGTCCCTATGAGTAGGCAGCAACTCGATGTCTGTGTGTCTGTGTCTGTGGGTGTGTATGAGGGGGTTTCAAAAGTCTGCGGATAAAAAATGAAAAGATAATGAAATTTTCCCCACCAATATTTTGAAGCTCCCTCATGAGAATATATACATACAAAATACATGAAGGGGCTTCAAAAAAATTTGTGGAAAAATTCCATTATCTTTTTATTGCATTTTCCCAGGAACTTTTTGAAGCACACATACACAAAGGGGCATCAAAAAATTCATGGCAAACTTCTATTATCTTTTAATTACATTTTTCCATTAACTTTCTGAAGCCTCATTATGTAGCACACAGCTAGATTGAGAGTTTAATGCTGCTATTTAGCTGAAAGGAATCTCTAAAGAATTTTTATGAGAGCAAAGAAAACAAAGAAGATCTCTTTCAACATGGCAAAGAAGATAAAAAGAAGCAATGCCAATGTGGCAAACCAAATGGAAGAGATCTATACTTGTGCCCATTCCAGAAAAAGGGAATTCAAAAGACTGTGGAGATTATCAAAAGTATTATTATCATCAAATGCAAGTAAAATTTTGCTGAAAGATATGTCAAAACGGTTGTAGCAGTACATGGGCAGAGAAATGTCAGTAATTCAAGCCTGATTCAAAAGAAGACATGAAAGTAGGCATACCATCACTGCTGTCAGATGAATCCTGGCTGGAATCAAAGAACACAGAAAGATGTTTTTCTGTGTTTACTGATTACACAAAGGCATTTGACTGTGAATCTTAATTTATAGATAATATTGTGAAGAACATGGATTTCAGAGCACTTACTATGCTGAGAAACCTGACAAAGACCAAGAATCAGTCACTAAAACGGAACAAGGGGATACTGTTTGGCTTAAAATCAGAAAAGGTATTGCATCAGGGTTGTATCCTTTAGCACAGTTATTCAATCTGTATAAGGTAAAGAAAAGCATGACAACAGTATGGAAGGAAGGTTCATTATCAGATGACACACGCTTGATTGCTGAAAGCTAAAAGGAAGTACTTACTGAGGAAGATCAAAGACCTTCAGTATGGAATTACAACTCAAGGAAAACAAAATCAATTGGACCAATAATCAACATAATGATAAACAGAGAAAAGACTGACATTATGAAGGATTTCATTTTACTTAGATACACAATGAGAGCAGCAGTCAAGACAATATAATTTATTAAGTAAATCTGATGCAAAAGACCTCTTAAGTGTTAAAGCAAAGATGTCACTCTGAGGACTAAGGTGCACCTTATCAAATCCATGGTATTGTCAGGCTTCATATGTATTTAAAAGCTAGACACTGAACAGGAAAGACCAGAGTACAACAGATACATTTGAACTGTGGTGATGGCAAAGAATATTGGGTGTACCATGGGATGCCAAAAGAAGGAACGAATCTGTCTGTTTTGGAAGAAGTACATTCAGAATGCTCCTCAGAAGCAAGGATGGCGAGTCTTAGTTTCAAATACTTTGGAAATGGTATAGAGAGAGACCAGTCTCTGGAGAAAGACATCATGATTGGTCAAAAGAGGGTCTGCAAAAAAGAGGAAGCTCCTCAACAAGATGGACTGGACACTGCAAGAATGTACTTAAATATAGGAAAGATTGGGAGTATGCCACAGGTTCAGGTAATAATTCATTCTGCTATACATTGGGTCACTATGAGCTGGAACTGACTCAATGGCACTTAAAACAAGAAGAAGAGAGGAGAGAGGAGCATATCTAACAGAAGGGACAATATGTGCAGAGGTCCCATGGCAGAAGCCTTATATACTCCAGTTGGGTGAAATACCTCATGTTGTTGTTGTTAAGTGCTGTTGAGTTGGTTTTGACTCGTAGTGACCCTGTATGAGGTTATCAAGAAGCAGCTGGAGAGTCTGAACTGCCAACCATGCAGTTCAAACTGACTTTAAGATCGTGTACTTATCCTACAGCACCACACCAGGATTCCAACATCTCATAGAAATGGCAAATGAAACCACAAAAGTGAACAAAATCTTACGTGGACAGAATAAGGAATGAAAAGAAAGGAGAGACTAGGCCTGAGCCTTGATAAATTCCAGTATTTAACGGCTAGGTAACAAAAAGTGGGCCTACAAAAAAAAAAAAAAAAACCCACCCACACACACATACACATTAAATGACATCCAAAACACACAAGAAATACTAGAAAAAAAGCTTCTATATAAAAACCCCAGGAAGTAATTTCTTCAAGAAAGACACCAATAATGTTAAACTACTAAAAGGCTAAGTAAGACGAAGACCTAAAAATAGCTCTTGGATTTAGTGACAGGGAGATCACTGCTGCAATTTCTTCTTAACAAGTAGTTTCAAGTGTTTCAACCTGGTGAGATGTGAAGAGGCAAATGGGATAGAATAAATGCACAGTATTATAGAGTAAGGAGTCCTGGTATGGTGTCGTGGGTTAATGCACTAGACTAAAAGGTGAGTTTGAACCACAAGGTCAGTGGTCCAAGCTCACCAGCCACTCCTTATACAGGGTGGCAATGAGTCAGAACCAACTTGACGGCACTTAACAACAACAACATTACATAATAAACCCAATTATGTAAAATGCCACTGGATGTACTTGTTCTGCACTGAAACAAAAAAGGGAGGAAATATGCCAAAATAATGAATAAATATGTACTGACATTATGTTGGCATTTTTTTCTCTTTTTAATATTATTAATTTTTTACTATAAGCAAATGTTACTTATATAAGCAAAAAAGTTTTCATTCATTACTCAAAGTTATACAGAGTTAGAAGAAAATAATAAAGATCAGAAATAGTTTTTACAGGAACCTATAATAATGCATTAATGAAAGTAAAGAGGAAAAAGGTGTTTGGTTGAGGGTTCTTATTGTAGATAAATTAAGAACAAAGTAAGATTTTTTAAATGACTACATTATAGACAGGTCACTTTAAAAAACGAATGAATTATTTTACCAGTTCTGTTCCTGACACCAGAATCTCCCTGAAGTCTTGTGTTAGCAAATTACAAACTTGAAATCCTTAGGTATTTTAAGTGGAGAAATCAACCGTTGCAGAGCTACAAAACATCCTAGATATGAATGCTTTCTAGCTTTCCCCATTCCCACTTACCCAGTGGCACACTTCTTATATTCATTGCCAGATAAACCACAATTGCCAAATCTGTCACCTTTAGAATTCACATCAGTGAAACAATCTCTTGGGGCAGCCTTGGCTTCTGTAACATTAAAAAGAAAAAAAAAAATTATGGTAATTTAATTCAGAATTAAAAGCATGCCCTATGACAGATAGTCCACATGAGGGTATGAACTGCCTCAATGCCTCTAAAAAGATTCAGGTCTTACATAAAAATAAAAACATTTTTATTCCCCCTTACAACAAAATATAGAAGTAAACTTTAGATTGTGCTTAAAAGTCTAGAGTCAAACACAAATGTCATTAAGCAGATTAAATTATAACAAAATTAAAAACCATGCCCAGTACAGTGCCACTTTCAGCAGATTCCTTTTCATCCCTGGCGATCTAGTAATGTTAGGATTCAGTGCTCTTAAATACACATTTACCATTCTACTGGCTACACTAGGGGCGAGTTTATGAAAAAATACCAACGCTTATTACTTGGTTTTATTTGTTATACCAGGAGGCCTCAAAAAAAATTTGTGGAAGAGTTCCATTATAACTAGATTCCATTTTTCCTCAAACATTTTGAAGTCCCCTCATATATAGATAATTAGCTGAAGCATTCCTACTAATTAGTTTTACAGTCATGACAGATGACAAAACAGTAACCCACTCTTGTGTTCCTACACTTTGTATATGTATCATTTAATACTCAATTGTGTAATTAAATATTCTAAAAGTCAAGTCAGTTGTTGCTGAGTTGATGCCATGTGTGTGTATCAGAGTAGAATTGGGCCACATAGGATTTTCCAATGGCTCATTTTTTACAAGTAGATCACCAGGCATTTCTTCAAAGACCTCTCTAAATGAACTAAAACCTCCAAACTTTCAGCTACAGGCAAAGCATGTTAACCATGTACACCACCCAGAGACTCCACACATTCCTAAAAGTATTTTGCTTGGAGATACTTTTTAAGCAAAATGCTAATAATCCCTCTTTAATAAACAAATGACCTATCTTATTCATCTAATACTACGTTTTTACCTTGCTTTGTCTGTAATGGATACAGGTTGAAAGGAGTTGGAACAAAAAAAGCACATAGGATCAAAAATGATGAAAAATTAATTTAGAACTCCTGGTGCTGTGCTTTATGGTAAGCACTAGACTACTAACTACAAGGTTGGCAATTCAAACTCACCAGATGTTCCCTGGAAACATTCTACAGGCTTGCTATGAGTCAGAATAGACTTGATGGCACTTAACAACAACATACATGAAAAATGTAATTTGACAATGCATATAGACCCTTGTACAAAACAAATAATTTTTTACATTCCAGATCATCTACAAAGAAAAAAAACAACTCTGGTTCCTTTACTCCTAGACATTTTTGCAGTCCTTCTGGTCTGGTGCTGTAGGATAAGCACTAGTTCAAACCCACCAGCCACTCCTCAAAATAGGGTTACTGTGAGTTGGAACAAGGAGCTCTGGTAGCACAGTGGTTACGAATCTGGCGGCTAATCTCAAGGTTGGCAGTTCGAAACTACCAATCATTCCATCGAAGAAAGACGAGGTTTTCTGCTCCCGTAAAGATTTACAGCCTCAGAAACCCTGTACAGGGTCACTATGAATTGGAACCAACTCCATGGTACTTCACAACAACAACAACATGAGTTGGAGCAGATTCAACAGCTCTTAATAACAATAACAACAATAACGACAGTACTGGAGTCCTGGTGTGGCGGTGTAGAGTAAGTACTGGACTGCTTATCACAAAGTCAGCAGTTCAAACCCACCAGTCACTTCTCACACAAGGTTGCTATGAGTTATAACTGACTCAATAGCTCCTAACTACAACATGACAGCAGTATCTTTACTAAATAACAGTATTTATTTAAGTAAGCTTGAACCACTGACCTTGCATCACATTAAGGGTGAGTTAACTAAATGTTATCCAAATATACTATGCTAGTTTTTAAGTTGATAGTTTTGTGTGGCCTGTGAATGACATTATAAATTTTGGCAGAATAAAAGGTTCTCCACCCCTGAGGTAGACTATCATTGTTGTAACACTGCTAGTACTGGATCAGCTAGTGGGTTTGAACTGCCAACCTTGTGGTTCTCAGTCCAGTGCTAATCCTATAGTGCCATACCAAGAGTCCAAACAAATACTATTAGACCGACCAGCCTGGAGTGGCTAGAAGAACAGAAGATATTTCTGGAAAGAAAGACTGACAGGAAAAACACAAATCAATATAGGTAGTCCAACTGATTACTACAAGAACAAGTAAGTTGCTTGCACAGGAGACACCATGGCAAGTGGTCGGGTCCCCTCAGGGCAAATCCCCTTCCAAGACAAAGACTCAAGGGGAATACACACTCTGATTGGTGACCACATTCGTCACCAATAAGGTGATGTGAGGGAAAAACAGCAATGAAGCGGCGAGCTAAGCCAGACAACGTTCAATAGATTCCTGTGAACCTGGGTGGAGACTTGGTTGACCAGCAGTGTGACAAGACGTGGGGACTCTTGGGCCCAGAGTCAGTGACATAACCACAGAGGACTAGAGTGGAGAGTGAAGCATCCAGCTGATAAAAAGAGAGGGCAAATGCATAAGAACACCCATACTTGTAAATAATACCCACTTGACCTGGCTTCAATGACTGGATGATCAGAGCTCAACTAGAAGAGGAAAGAAGAGGTAAAAAAGAGTAATCTGATACAATTTGAAGAACATTGGCTACCCAAAATGGGGAGAGGGGTGTCTACAAAGGCAAGAAGTGACTGGCTTACAAGCTTTCATGAGGGAGCCTAGATCCAGAGGGCGCGGAGGAAGGTAGAATCTCCACTGAGTAGTATCCAATCTGTCTGGGTGGGGCTGATGAAAGGAGATGCGGATAGGTCTCTTTTATGACACAATAGTGAATAATTGTTGTCAGGACTGATTGTGAGGGTTGGAAATGTAAAGGTAGACATTTTGTAGCAAAAGGAGGGGAGTGATAGACTTTGCAGTCCAGGAGTGGAGGTCCCTGGGGCCACCAAGGGAGAAGAGCGGAGGGCGGGACCCTACCCAGAGAAGCAGTGACGCCAGAGATGGAGTGAGATGATGACATGGAGAGATAGAGTGGCTGGGGACTTTAGACCCAGAGAGGGAGAGGGTTGTGTGCTGACGACTAGAGGGTAAGCTTGCAGGGTATAGCCTGTGGTTGGTTGATGATGCATGGAGGGGATTATAACCATGGCAATTAAACTATATACGATAGGATGAATGTAAAGCTAATGTTCTCCCATGTAAACTAGCACATAATTCACAACAAAACATTAAAAAAAAAAAAATGCTATAAGACCAATTACATAGTGTGAATGAAGAGACGGAATTTCTAAGTAAGACATCAAAGGAAGAAATCATATATTAAAGATAATTTAAATGAGAGAAATTTTATGTCAAGTAAACAATATAACCAAAATTAAAAGACAAAGGACAAAATGGAGAACACTGGTTGCAATATGAGGGGATTTTACAAAAGTCATAGAATAATGAAATTAAAAGATAATGCAAGGCAGAAACAGTAAAAATGTAACAGAAAATAATATAAATGGTGAATATGAAATCAAAAGCATCCACTCAAACCCATCAGTAATTAAAATTTGTATTAAAAATAACAAAAATTAATGTATAAAGCATTTATTTTATTTTAAAAAAAAGTTAAAAAACCAACGTTGGAAATATTTAGAGAAATTAACACACTCATACATGGCTAAGTGAGAAAACAAAATGGTATATTTCTGGAAATTATCTAGAAATGTCCCAAAAGCCTTCAAAGAACATAGCCTTTAATATAGCACTTCTACATCAGGGAATTTATCCTTAAAAAAAAAATGTATTTGCAACCAGCACTGTTGACTGGATAAATTATTATATATAGTAACTATCCTGTAGAAAATACCTAATAACATGGAAAAGTATTTATTATTCAGTGTTAATTTGGTCTGTATTCTCCCAGGTGATGTATCTATCATCCCTCAATACAGTGTATATAAACATCACAAATAAATGGGCCATGATTTACGGATAGTAATTATGATTATTTTTTTTACTGCTTTTCTGTTTTTCATTTTCACCAAATTTTTCATTTTCACCAAAGCTATATATATACATGGAGTCCTTGTGTGGTGCTATAGAATAAGCACTCGACTACAAGGTTGGTTTGAACTACAAGATTGGAGGTTTAAACTCACCAGCCGCTCCTCTGATACACTATACAGGATCGTTATAAGTCAGACTGACTCAACAGCACATAACAACAATAGACACACATAATTGAAGAGCCCCATTCTTATCTTACTTATTAGGAAAAAATAAAGCATACTAATATCCAACATCTTCATCCCTTGAAGTACCCTTTTTGCATTTTCAGCTGATTATTTTGCTACTTGCTCTTTGTTACCTTGATAACGCTACTTCTTTTTTTAGTTTTCATTTGGAAGATACTCTTTAAAAATGTTTACATATATAACAAAACGTTTATATATAGATCATCTTTGCCATGTCAACCATTTTTCCACATAAAATCCAGCCACACCAACTACACGCCCCATGTTGCACAACTATCACCACTATTCATTGCCAAATCTTTTTCTCTCTCTGCTCTTTGTTCTCATTTTTTTTTTTTTTTTCATTCTTCTTTTGGGGGAAAGTTCCCAACTGTTTGTCCTAATGAGAAAATAAATATATACTGTTTGCCTTCAAGTACAAAAAGAAAAAGAAATGTTTCCATTTAGGTAGTGCTATTTCTTTATTTTTCCATTTTAGGCATAAACTGTTACAGACTTGGGATTTATTTTCTAGTGAGAGTAAAACACAGTATTTCAGGACTCATGCTCCATTTATCTAATAGAATATTCTAATGAACTATAATATAAATGAGTAAATATAGATGAATCTCAAAATCATTTTGAGAGACCAATGTAAGTAGCAGACTCATGTACAATACCATACTATTCGTGTAAATTTATTATGACTATAAAAATAATACTATATAGATAGTGTTTATATACATAGTATTGAGAGACAATAAATTGAGAGATACACACAAATAACATCAACTGGAAGAATACATGCCAAATTTGTGACCATGGCTGCCTCTGAGAAGGAAGAAGGAAGAAGTGAGAGGAGAGAAAAAAATAAAAGCATTCGCACTTCATCAAAGTGCTTTATTCATTTTACTTAAAAAATTAAGACAATAAATAAAATCAAAACAACAGAGTATAAATACTAATTATCTTACTTGAGCCGAAGATGACTTGACACTGAGCATCATAATATTGGCACATGCCATTGTAACAATAGGCTTTGTTATTCTGGCAAGGATATCCATTCTGAATAAAAACATCTGGCTGACAGAACTGAGAAGAGCCATTGCAATATTCTGTAACATCACACTCATTGTTTCTTCCTCGGCACACAGTACCACCTGGTAGGAACTAAGGTAGTAAATTGCAAATTAATAGAAACATCATAACATTTTAATAAACTAAACAAATTAAAAGAATTTACATCCATAAAGTGTTCTAAAAACAACAAAAGGTTAAGAACCCAACAGAAAAGTGAACAAAGACCAATGTTTCTGCTATTGTTGTTAAGTGCCCTCGAGTCAGTTCCGGCTCATAGTGGCCCAGTACATGGTTTCCGAGGACTCACTAATAAGTTTGAACTGTCAACCTTGTAGCTCAAACCGACCTTGCGGTCCAGTGCATTGTCCTACAGTGCCACACCAGGACTCCAGTTAAGTGCAGTCAAGTTGGTTCCAACTCCTAACAACCCTGTATAGGGTTTCCGAGGCTTTAAATCTTGAAGAAGCAGTAAGTCTAATCTTTCTCCGTGGAGCAGCTGGTGGGCTTGAACTGTAGACACCAAGCACTAACAGGCAATTTATAAACGTTATGAAATATTTAAAAAAAAAAAAAACATATTGGTAGCCAAAAGAAATGCTAATTAATTTTTTTTTAAATACTGAAAAACACTTATTAAAATAACCAGGACTATAAAGCTTGCTAGACACTAAAGTTGGCATGAAGAAATGATCATTTGATTATATTATTGGTAAAAGTATGATGTTGTTAAGTGCCATCGAATTGGTTTCGACTCATAGCAACCCTGTATAGGGTTTCTGAGGAGTGGCTAATGAGCTCAGACCGCTAATCTGGCAATTCAGATCAACCTTGCTCTGGCACATTAACGTGCAGCACCACACCAGGACTCTGGAAGAAGTATAAACTGATATATTTGTGGAAGGTACACAGAGTGTAAATAAAAAATTTAATATACATATTGTGCCTCAAAACCAAAAACTGGAAGGAGTCTAAACATCCATCATTAGTTGACTAGCTAAAGCAATTATGGTATAGTCATGCAAAAGAATCCTGACTATATAAAACTCACTGTCATCAAACTGATTCCAACTCATAACAATCAAAACAGAGTTTCTGAGACGCTAAATCTTAAAGAACATAGCCTTATCTTTCTCCTTTGGAGCAGTTGGTGAGTTTGAACTGCTGACCTTGCAGTTAGCAGCCCAATGCCTAGACCACAGCATCACCAGAGTTCTTTACTAATTATATAATCATATAAAACTGCATGAATGGGGAAAAAAATCTGTAACAGTCAACCGACAAAAGCAGATAATAAAAACATTTGTGTGTGTGTGTGTTGACCCACTCATGCATATACACACACACACACACACACACAAACTCTTACATACGGGGGTCTTTCATTTTCTGCATTTTATACTTGCTTTTACATGAATTATTTATACTAAGCATATATTACTCTTAAAATTAAACTAACATGCTTCCACATAGAAAAAAATCTTAATTGTCATCAAAGAATGTTGCAAATTTGCTAACATATAGCACACAATTTCTCATAATCATATAAAAAACCTGCTCTCAGAGATCTCAGAAAATAAATTCTGATAAAAAGCCTTTTTATTCTTTTTTCCATTTTTTATTCCTAACATGGAAAAATTCCTTACCAAACAGTTTTTACAACAGTCACCATATGCACATTCAGCACCTGAACGAAGCTTACAAGTAGTTGCTTCACAACAGGGGTCCAACTCACATTCCTATGAACAGAAAATAAACTATCAATAATGCTACTGATATCAAATTAATTACTAACATTCTTATTTTAACCCTAAAGTCCACTTCTTTTTTACCTGGTTATAGCAGATATTCTGGATTTATCAATGACTCCTTTAGCTACAACAATTTACATCTCAACATAATTTTAAAGACTCACTTCCCTCAAATCAGTTGCATCTCATAGTAACCTTAGAGAACATAGTAGAACTTCCCCATAGGGATTCCAGGCCTCTAAATCTAAATGGAAACCAACTGTCATATCTTTCTCCTGCCTAGTATCTGGTGAGTTTGAGCAGTCTATCTTTTGGTTAGCGATAGAAAGCTGTAATGCTGTCCCAATTTTTTAAAATACAAAATATACTAGTTTGCTAATTTATCAAAGCTAGAAATCAATCTTAAATCCTCAAAATAAATTTTGAAAATTAACTAATGTGCTTAGATAAAACAAATGGAGCCAAAGAAGTCATAATGAACAATATAAAATATTCCAACTGAGTGATAAAAAAATGCTACAAACTGTGGGGGAATATGTGCTAATTACAAGGTAATTTATAGCCTCAATGCATATATCAACAAATAAGAAAGGTTGAATAGTAGTAAGCCAAAAATGCATCTCAAAAAGCTGGAAAAATCAAAAGCAAATTAAACTAAGCAATTTAAATCAAAAGTAACAAAATTAAAATTAAAAAGCACAAACACAATTCAAAATAAGTTCTTTTTTTTTTTTAAAGGAAAAATAGGAGCAGAAACAAGACATAGAAACCATACAACAGTAAGAGAAAAAAAAATGGATTTTTTTCAAAACTACTATCAATAAAACTGGCAAATCTCTAGTGAAATTAGTAAACATTAAAACTATTAAGACAGGCCTCAAACTGAATCAACTCCAAGGGATGAACTTTCAGCCAAACAAGAGATGATTTATCAAGTGATTAATAACACTAGGGAGTAATGTACACCTCAGTATAGTCAACCACAGGAGACCAAAAAAGCAGCATTTGCACCAAAACGAAGCTCAGGTGGTAAAAGGAGCACTGAAAATGGATAAATGGGAACTGGGAACCAAAGGAGGAAGTAAAAAACAAACTGCATATAAATTGTTGAATAGAAAAATAATTTACTCTGTAAACCGTCATCTAACTACAATAAAAAGTAAAATTAAATTAAAGGTATAGATAACCAATAACCGGAATAATTTTTAAAAAAAGGATATCAGTACAGATACTATAGTTATTATAAAGATAATAAGTTATTTGAAAATTTAACAAAACAGGCAAATTCCTAGGAAATGACATTAAGACTATCTCAATTAAAAACAGAAATACGAAGGAGTCAATAAAGAATTTATATCTGTTTTCAACAATACTACCATAAAGAAAACTCTGAGATCACACAATTTACTTAGAATACAAAAAAAAAAAAAAATGGATTCAATCTTATGCAAACTCTTTTAAAGTATAAAAATACAAAGCATTACCTACTTCCTTTATCTTTACCTGAATAACATAAACAAGACAAGAGAGTACACGAAATGAAACATGGAGAAATACAGGGCAACTTATTCCTAAACAAGTCACATCTGTCAATACCAAGAATGAATATATAGTTATGTTTTTACCATGCAAATTTTAGTAAGTTTAATTCATCATGCTATCTCCATAAGAAGAAAACTTATGATGATTTCAATAGATTCAGAAAAGAATAAAACTGAACTTACATACTTTTAAAAAATTGAAGCACAGTAAGAACAAAAAAAGGGTTTTGTTTTGTTTTGTTAAGCTGCTAGATAAATGGCATCTGCCAATATTGACATTGAGAAACTGAAAGCTTTCCCTTTGGCATAAGGATACCGCTGTCACCACTTATTATCAGCATTGTATCAAATATGCAATGCAAAAATGGAACTAAATAAATAATAAGAAAAGATTTAAAGATAAGAAGAGAAATATTTTTTTAAATCTGGCATTATTCTACATAAGATTATATAGAATGAAAATCCAAAACAATCTAGGTATAAGAATTAATAAAGTTGCTGTACAAAAAAATCAACTGGATCAAAGAGCTTTGTAAACAAAGTATACAGATAATCTACAGAAAGGAAGAAAATATTTAAGGACCATTTAATAGACAAGAGTTTGATACTCAATCTATATAAAGAACTCCAACAACTTAACAACAAAAAGATGAATATCCTAATTTTAAAAATGGGCAAAGGACTTGAATAAACATTTCACCAAAGATGTACAAATGTCCAATATGCACATGAAAAGATGCTAAATGTCAGGAGTCGTTGTTGCTCTTAGGTGTCCTCAAGTCAGTTCCAACTCATAGTGGCCCTATGTACAACAGACGGAAACACTGCCCAGTCCTGCACCATCCCCACAATTGTTGTCAAGTTTGAGCCCATTGTTGCTGCCACTGTGTGAATCCATTTTCTTGGGGTCTTCCTCTTTATGGCTGACCTTCCATTTTACCTAGCATGATGTCCTTCTCCCAGGACTGATCCCTCCTGATAACTCCTGAAAACATGTCTCAAGTACAAGACACAAAGTCTCAACATTCTAGCTTATAAAGAGAAAACTGGCTGTATTTTTCTTCCAAGATAGATTTGTTTGTTCTTATGGTACTTTCAAGATTCTTCACCAACACCATAATTTAAATGCATCAGTTCTTCTATGGTCTTCCTTATTCATTGTACAACATTCACAGGCACATGAGGCAACTGAAAATACCATCCTTGAGTCAGGCACCTTAGTCCTCAACTGACATCTTTGTTCTTTTAACACTTCAAAGAGGTCTTGTGTAGCAGATTTACCAAAAGTTAATACATCATTTGATTTCTTGACTATTTCCAAGAGTGTTGATTGTATATCCAACCAAAATGAAGTCTTTGGCAAATTTAATCATTTCTCCATTTATCATGATGTTACTTATTGGTCCAGGTTAATTGTCATTGTTGTTGTTAGGTGTTGTTGAGCTGGTTCCAACTCATAGTGACCCTGTATAGGATTTCTGAGGAGGGGTTGATGGGTTTGAACCACTGACCTCATTGTCAACAGTACAGTGTTTATCCTACAGTGCTACACTAGAACTCTTGGAATATTATTCATCCATAATAGGAAATGAAGTTCTGATACATGCTATAGCATGAATAATCCTCAAAAAGTGATGCTGATTGAAATAAGTAAATTTAAAAAAAAATCAATCTTGGGAGAAATATCTAGAACTGATAAGTATATAGAGATCAAGAGGAACCCTTGGTGGTATAATGGGTTAAGCACTGGGCTGCTATTCAAAAGATCACCAGTTTAAAGCCACCAGCCACTCCATA